TAGTGTTTCCGATAGTTAATTTTTCCGATTAACTTTTTTAAAATCTTACTAAAAATGTTACTTAATATTTTAACTGATTATTCACGCCATCTCTTCCACTTATTAAATTTATTACGTCAAGTCCTTGCCCTAATTCACGCAGCTACTAAAATTGTACATAAACATAATCTTTATCCGCACGTGTAAAAATTTCAACGCGCAGTGAGACGATTATCTTTTTGATCTCTTCATTATCGTATTCCCGAACGCGCCGCGAAATGTATCTGTCATTAATCTTGCAAATGACTTGCTGACACGAACTGACGGTACACGCTGTTTCTTTGTAGAAATTCAGGCGACGGAATTCAAAGCGCGAATTAGCATGTCGTATTCATCACCTCGCCTGTCCGCTCGTCGGCGAATAGGCCGTGGTTTAGTTCTATGTTCGAATCGATAAGAATCGCGACGTGTCGCCTGCCCCGTATTTATAATCGCGTCTCCGCTCGAGAAATCAACTGAAGCCAATTTTGAGATATGGCGCAGTTTAATAAACAGATCTTGAGAGTTTGACGTTTGTCACGTAATATTTTCACGATTTAATTAAGGAATTGATAGAGTTAAAACAACCTGTGCAAGTTGTTCCTTGCTGTTCAATAATCGATTTTTTAGAAAAATTCAACCGTGCATGTTGATAATTTTTTATCCTTGTAACATTTTTTCCGGAGATTTGAACATTACTCACGTGAAAAAGTCTGACTTAAAATATAATTTAAAGTTTTAAAGCACTAAAATTATCTTTCGAGCGAGACAAAAATAAAGTTTAGCTTTAAATAATAGATTTAATAATTTTTTAAATTGAATAATTAATCATTTACTATATATTGAAAATTTTTTAATTAAATAATTTGCGCGCAATCATTAAACTTCGCTGTCAACAATATACATTTGTACATATAAATTTCAATTAATTAAAGTAAATTTTGTCGTCAATTGAGATTTAGTAGTAACAGTATTTCAATTACGAAACTTTGTATTAATCAACTCGATCGATATCTTATACGACGCCGATCAATTTACAAAACGAAGCGCAAAATATAAAATAACAGCTCACTTGTCAAAATGCGAAGAACAGAATATTCGGCGTGATTTTGCTTCATAAAACGTGGGACAATAGCAATTCTGCTCGTGGCCTTGGTACGTTTTTCGTGTCGGTCTTTGCGGAAGGTCAGCGCTGTCGCATTCGCTCTTCGACACTCGAGCGAGCACGCAGTGGAACGAGAGCCGTGCCCGTCTTTGCGTTTATTACTACTCTTGTCGCGATCGCGACAAGCAAAAAGTGTCATCAAAGGATATTATATACCACACATCTATTACGATAAGAGCTTCTTAGCGTGCACGATAAAAAATTTAAAAATACATCGACGCCGCGACGACTCTATGTAATTATATCGAAATAGATATTTCGAGCAATTTTTTCTTAACTAATGTAGGAAATTAATAAACGACGCAACTGGCAAATTCTCATTAAAGAAATTTATTGCGAAAAATACGAGACGTCCCGCCCCTCGAGTGTAGGGAGGTCCAGGTTCAAATCCTGGCCGAGGAAATACGTTTCGCAATAAATTTCTTTAATTAAAGTTTGCCAGTTGCGTCGATTATTAATTTCCTACATTAGTTAATTACCCACTGGCGACAGTAAGTCTTTATTCTTGATTTTTTTAATTTAGAGATCCCGAAAGGGAGGAAAAGAAAATTGTTGAATGCCGTGCTTTCGCTAATCGCGCCAATTTACTCTTGCAGAGAGAAGACGATTTGCATAAAGCGGTGAAACTGACTTCGAGGGAGCGGAGATTCATAAAGTTTGCATCAGCGGCGTACGATGGTCAACTGTACATGACTCCGCAGGACTTTCTCGACAGTGTCGTCGACGACGAACCACGACGTACGTACAACCGTTGATTTACCGTAATAAACGTCCGTTCTAATCTTCGCAACGAGAGTTATTCAGGCAGCCGATTAAAATAGTTAATTGGAGTCGTGTTCCAACTAGAGCTCCCTAGTACACGCGTATATACTAGACTACACGTGTAATCCGTGTATTTAACTTGTCCATGTTTTAACCCGTGTACACGAATATAAAGAATCTTCATATACGTGAATCCTCCGTGAACACGTGAATGTGACACGTGTTCACGAATATCATACACGAATATTCGAACACATGTGTCACGTACACAGGCACATGTGAATCTTAAAACACGTGTCCAATCGAAAGTTCTAGTTCCAACTTATTAAAAATGTATGGCATTCGTGACAACAAATATATCTTTCATTCAGATATTGTTTCGGGAATTTTCGGAAAGAGAAAATTTCAAATTCTTATTTTTCTACTGATAAAAATTGTCCAGTCTTGTCGCAGTCGCTCGTCCCGTTTATTCGAAATATAAAGCAAACTCGATTGGATGTCACCACGTACGCGTCTGTCGCCTCTTTGATATATGCGTGTTTTCTGGAGCACAGCGATCATATTAGAAACGCGTTGCGATCGCCATACGTTTCGATAAACCTCTCTCGATGTGACATACGCAATTGTCATGATATTTTCAGCGAGACTAAAGAGGCGTGTGCTGACCGATCAGGAGCTCGAAGTGATGAGAAATTCGACCGCCTTGCTACGCCACGGAAACACACACATGTTCCGAAATTTGCGAGACAAAGGTAATCAAGATATACAAAGATATAAAATAAAATACTTAGGTAAAAAAGAGAAAAGTTAATATACATTTGCGAATATTGTTTCTTAGTTTAAATGATAACAGAAGTAATCAGCTACAAGCGATTGTAACATTTGATAAAAACATGTATAGAAAACCGTAGACAATCTCGCCGAGTAAGAATGACATTTTATACTCGCGCGTACACGGGGGGAGAATTTTCTCTTACAATTTACCCCGAAAATCGTGTAATCGTGCGGCATTTCGAAGACCTGTACAGGGTCCGCCACCAAAATCCGGACAAAATGGGCAATTTGTTGAAACAAAATTAAATGCACAACAATTTTAATTTGTCTGGATTTTGGTGGCGGATTCGATCTGTACGAGAGTTTTTCGAAATGTCAGAAAACCCTCATCCAAAGTTGTTCAAAATGCCAAGTTGTCCCACGACTACATGATTTTCAGGGTATAAATTTTCAAAGAAAATGCCGCGCAGCGTTTTCAACGTCAAGAAATCAAAGCTCGCGATTCGAGTGCTAGAAAATGAAAGGACGAGTCTCGATTTGAGCGCGAGTGGTTCAACGCTTTCTATCGAAATAAACGAAATCCGACGAGGGGAAAACGCCGATAAGCGGGGCTATCGATCGCGATCGACGTATTACGGTAGCAACCTGTACTTACGGAGACTCGGTTCGAGTTTTCCGCCACCCACGTGCCGAGCCATGCTCGTCGCGACAGGCAGGGCTGTATCATTAGTTTAATGGCGCGCGGCTGGGTTTCCTCCTCGCTCCTTGCGCGTGCACCGCACGTTCGTCGCGCTAATGGAAATGCAAATAATCGGCAGGCGCGAGGGGAGAGGAGGGCGGCCAGTTTCACACCTCTCCTCGATAATAACGAGTCCCTCC